ATCAGGGCAGAGATTCAGCAGTTGGTAGACCGAGGAGTGATCCGTCAATCCATGTCTCCGTGGGCTGCCCAGTGCTTGTGCGTTAAGAAGAAGGATGGTACGCTGCGACTGTGCATCGACTGGCGTGAACTCAACAAACTGTTGGTCTCGGATAGTGGGGGTTTGGGTGACATGCAGACGACATTCGACGGGTTGAAGGGCAAGAGGTATTTCTCTCAGCTAGACCTCGCCTGCGGTTTTCACCGGATGGAAATCACCGAGAAAGACCGTTACAAGACGGCCTTTCGAGATGCGGATGGTATGCTTTGGGGATTTACTCGCGCGGGTTTCGGCCTGACGGTGCTTCCGGCGGCCTTCACTCGTAGAGTAAAGTCGGCTTTGGGGCATCTATCGGGCGTGTTTAACTGACTTGACGACATTCTCATCGCCAGGGAGACATGGGAAGAACATCTCGCCGCTCTGACGCTCGTTCTGAATCGCCTTCTGGCCTCGGGGCTGTCCATGAACTTCGCGAAATACATTTTTGGCGCAGCATCGCAGGAGTTACTTGGCATGATCATTGACAGCACGGGCCTGTACCCTGCTCCGTCTAAGCTAGATGCAATCACACGCATGCCTCGCCCACACACAGTACAAGAGCACGTTTTCGGGTCTCACCGGCTACTTGCGTCAGTTTGTACCCAACTACAGCTTGACTGCCGCTCCGCTCACCAACATCCTCCGCAACAAAGCCTTTGTTGGTAAACTCGTGGCTTCTGGGGAAAATATGTTTTATTGTTGAGACCTTGGACCAGGAGAACAGGTCAAAAGGTGAAGTGAGCAAGGGTGGGGAGCACCACAGCACCGTAGCACCGCAGCCACCATCCTNGAGCAAGGGTGGGGAGCACCACAGCACCGCAGCCACCACCCGTGTCGCTCGACCAACGCACAAAAGCAGAACACAATGATATCGGAACACAAAAGACTCAACAGACAAGGGCTAACGTACATAACAACATACCATGAATCCTCTGACTGATGCACTATCCACAAGAAACACACTCGGGGTAATGCACCATCCACGAAGAACATTCCCACAGAACGTTCCTTGCTGTTCTGATAATATGTGGCTACTCAACGATCTTCAACGCAGACAGTCCCGCAATGCAAACTGTCCAATCAAGTTGTTCTACGTCACTCTGTGGACACACACACACCAGCAACTATCACGAACACCCTCCCTTGGGGCTGTTGTCTCGACCAGATCAAATACATATCAGAATAACAACAACCAAAATAAAACACAACTCAGGTCACTAGACTACTTCTTCTCAGAAATCAAACCTAGAGCAAAATTACGATGAACTTCAAAAAGATCTCTCGGCAGAGCCTTCGTCAGAATGTCCGCATGCTGTCCTTCGCTAGAGACATGTCTGATTTCCAACACTCCCTCCTCTGTCAAATTCGTGAGAAAGTGGTGCCTCACGTCAATCAATGTGCTTACTGTTACACGAACTGAGTGGATTCTCAGCAAGTGCTAGCACACCCTCGTTGTCCTCTCGTACCCGAATCTTACCGATTCTATCACTAGGCCTCAAGAACTCGAGCATTCCGTTGACAAACAGAGCCTCTTTTACACCGTCACCCATCGCAACATACTCTGCTTCAGTTGCTGAAAGTGTGACACATTTCTGCGTCCTAGAAATCCAAGCAACAAGACAGTCAGCTACAAGAACTAGTGCTCCCGAAACTGATCTATGGTCAGTGGCCTTACTGGCGAAGTCTGCGTCTACGTACACCAACGTGCCTACGTCTACCATAGTGTCCTGCTTGAACTTCACAATTTTAATGTGCCGTCTCCAGAAGATAAATTCAGAATCTTCTGCGCCGCCTTCCGGTGGCTTGTCTTCGGCTCGTGAGAGTGCCTCGCCACCGCCCGCACAGCANCTACGTACACCAACGTGCCTACGTCTACCATAGTGTCCTGCTTGTACTTCAAAATTTAATGTGCCGTCTCCAGAAGATAATTTAGCATCTTCTGGGCCGCCTTCCAGTGGCTTTTCCTTGGCTCGTGAGAGTGCCTCGCCACCGCCCGCACAGCATTTGAGATGTCGGGCCTCGTCTGGTTGGCGATCCACATCAGGCTCCCCACCACCTCTCGGAACGGCACATCCCTTGCCTCCTCCTCCTCCATCACGGTCCTGTAAACACTAGCAGGGGGGGCAGGGTCGAGCTGGTGCAACAAATATTGAATCTTTCGATAACACTCCTGACGCAACGCTCTTGAGACATCTCAATCTTGCCAGCCTCGCGGTCGCGACTAAATGCGCAACCATGAAAGAACTTGACCTCGCCAAAATTCTTTGTGTGAAAAGAGTCACCTAGCGTTTGCACAACTCTCTTGGCAAGGCTCTCAATTCCTCCATACAGAAAGGCATCCACATGAATCGCGATTATACCCATCACCTCGTTTCTCATCATGAAACGCAGAACACAGGGGTCAGATAGAGATTGTTCGACATTAATCCTCTTCAGGTCCGACAGAAATCTCTTGAGAAATGTTTTACATGCCTGCCTCAGTCCATCCAAACTCTTGTCTAAACGGACGACCTTTCCTGACATCGACTCGCAGCCAGGAGGCAACTTCATGAACACCTCATGATCCAATTCCGACTGAACAAACGCGTGCTCAATGTCAAACTGGAGAAATTCCAAATCATACTTGCACGCCAATGCTACCAACAAACGAATCGATGCAGCATTTGCAGTAGGCGAGAAAGTCTCAAGATAATCCACACCATACTTCTGCTTGAAGCTCTTCGCTACAAGCCTAGCCTTGGCCTTCACTATCTTGCCTGTTTTGTCTGCTCTCCATTTATTGACCCATCTAGCATCTACCACGTTACAGCCTATCGGGGCCTTTACTGCTAACGCGAACATTCCTGCTCTTAACAAGCCTTCAAACTCTGCAGACATGGCTTTGTCCCAAATCACGGTATGCTTTGACTGGCGGGCTTCTCGGTAGCTACCAGGCTCTGTCTCTACATCCTGAATGAGCTCTCTCGGCAGTTCCATAGTGTCAGACGCTCTCTGCTCCACTAAGAGTGCTTCTACAATTTCAGATGCAGAGATAGCTCCTAGAGTGGCCATGAGACCGGATACGCTCTGCTGGTTTACGGCCCGAGTTTGCGCACGGGTTCTGCCTTCTCTGACTTCAACATTCTCATTCGCAGCAGTGTTGTAACTAGCAAGCTCATGCCGCGCACGACGACTAGATGGTACGTGCGTAGCAGGGGGAAATGACTCCGATTCTACCTCCTGCCCTCCCGGCTCAACCAACTCTTCATCCAACCCTTCGTGACTCTCCGGCTCTACCTCCTGCCCTCCCGGACGCGCCGATTCTTCCTCCCCTGTATACGGCCCTTCCTGCTCTCCCTCATCGGTGAACTCGTCTGCTGGAGAAGACTAGGGGAATTAATCGCGGGCGAAGATGGCACAGCAGGGGGTTGACCTACACTGCCTGCATCAATACTGCCAACCTCATCGATTGCTTTACCAGAGACCGTTGCATTACGTTGCAAAATAATGTGGGGAACTCCTCTCCCTAAAAGCGGCCATACCTCAGCTTCTACATCGTCGTCACTTTCCTCCCCTCCCTCCTCTGCGACCTCGATCGGCAAGAGAGACGGTTGCGGTTGAGGGAGTTGTGACGGCAACGCTTCCCACGTCACAGTCCTCGTTTCCTGAATAGTTCCAACCCTCGAAAGTATGACAGTCATGCGGGTGGTCTCTCGAAGGATCGACATAAAAGTAAGCCTGACCTTCGGCAGCAGCTTAGACGGTCGCTGCCACCTACAGTAAGCCGGTTTCAAAAACGGATACGGTCTAGCAGGACTAGCTTCACCATGCCACATCTCATACGGCGACTTCCTATCGGGGTTAGCGGAACACGCTGTATGGTTAATTGCTTCGCAAGCCCAGTGCATCGCCTCAGCCCATGGTCTTAGGTAATTGCACATACCCAAACAAAACTTTTGCCTGAACACGGGCAGCCATTGCCGCCGGGTCAATCAATCCCAAACCACGCTCTGCAACACCGTTGTATTGGGGACTGTAAGCCGGGGTGAACTCTTGCTTAATCAAGAGCTCGTTGCACACGGACGCAAATTCTCCTCCGAAAAACTCCCCCCCATTGTCAGATCTGACAATCTCAACCAATGATGGGATACCATCAGCACGCACACTTGCGAGGAAACTCCGGAAAGCACTCGCAGCGTCTGATTTACTTTTCACGAAATACATCCATGTACGTCTAGTGAAATCATCCTTCACTATCATGGGGTAATGTTTACCCCCTACGGACGCAACGTCGTTCCGCCCTCCCAGGTCACCAAAAACTCTGCCCAACTTTTTGTCCGATCTGCATCTTGTTTCATGAGCGATTCCTTTCTTGAATGTCTTCGACATTAAACACCCCGTACAAGCATGCATTTTACCGGTCAACTCGATACCTAGTCGCTTTGCTGTTGTACGAAGTNACTCCGGAAAGCACTCGCAGCGTCTGATTTACTTTTCACGAAATACATCCATGTACGTCTAGTGAAATCATCCTTCACTATCATGGGGTAATGTTTACCCCCTACGGACGCAACGTCGTTCCGCCCTCCCAGGTCACCAAAAACTCTGCNCCTTCCGCCCTCCCAGGTCAACAAAAACTCTGCCCAACTTATTGTCCGATCTGCATCTTGTTTCATTAGCAATTCCTTTCTTGAATGCCTTCGACATCGAACACCCCGTACAAGCATTCATATTACCGGTCAACTCCATACCTAGTCGTTTTGCTGTTGTACGAAGTAATCCTTCATGTGAATGAGCATAAATGTTATGAAACTCGTTCACATCCATCTTAGATTCATGCTTGGGGTTTGAAGGAGTGAGGGCAGCTGACACCGAACCCACAGAGTTGTTCTCTAGACGATACGCAGTCGAAATGAGCATGCCATCGAAATTCGGAAAAATTACTGTTCTGTCGAAAGTAGCCATCATACCATCAAGACCACCGAAGCTATTTCATAACTTGCCACAAAACACTGCGCTGGGAGAAAAGAGGTTGCACAAACCTTCAACCCTACTGAACACTCGCTGTCAGCAATCACAAACACTTCCTCCAGGGTTCCAGACGGTCTACTTCACAAGTAACGCCATCAATCCCTCTTGCGTTCTAATAGCAATCCTTTACATCGTTAACGCTAGAGAGAGTCTGTCATGTGGAAAGCAGTAACCGTGTCCGTAACACCATTCTTGACATATTTGTCTTCCTCACAAGAAATAAAGAGTATTTGCGGACAGCATCATCACTTGACAAGCACTCCAGCAGCATAATCTCGTTATACTCTACCAGACACGTCAGATCATGCGAGTCGTTCAATCTGGATTGAGAAAATAGCACCGTGTCAGACTTCTCACCGTTCTCTTGTCTTCCTGGCGCAGCGCATCCACACTGAATCCTTGCTGTACCGAGGGGGTCAAGTCGAATTCAAAGTCTGCGGTCGGAATGTCTACATATAGTCTAACTCAGACACAAAAGCCTCAAACAGATTGTTGTTGTTGTGGGCGGTCAGTAGAAACAATTGTGACCACGACGGATGCGACACGTCCGTCCCGTCGAAAACAGAAGCTTCGGGAGCTTTGAAAGGACTCCTACCCAAGTTTTCTCCTGTGTCAAAAATGCCGGCCCCAGGAATATGTGTTTCCACTAGCGACACGTCTCCACCACTCACTCGATGGAGTAGATGGGGGTGGAATGGAAGACTGGCTACCCAAAGCCCCACTAACCATTCCCGGAATGGAGGACTGACTACCTAAAGTCCCACCAACCATTCCCGAACCGAAAGACTGGCTACCTAAAGCCCTACTAACAGTTCCAATCGAACCAAAGCTTGCAGCACCAGCAGAGGGACGATTTACAGCAGATGCATGAGGGTTCAAGCCTGAGTCTAGAAGACTACTTACTACTCCCAACTCTCACGCTGGACATGCCAAGGTCTTGGGCGNCTGGGAGAAAAGAGGTTGCACAAACCTTCAACCCTACTGAACACTCGCTGTCAGCAATCACAAACACTTCCTCCAGGGTTCCAGACGGTCTACTTCACAAGTAACGCCATCAATCACTCATGCGTTCTAATAGCAAGCCCCCACATCGTTAACGCTAAAGAGAGAGTCTGTCATGTGGNCCAGCAGCATAACCTCGTTATACTCTACCAGACACGTCAGATCATGCCAGTTGTTCAATCTGGATTGAGAAAATAGCACCATGTCAGACTTCTCACGTTCTCTTTTCTTCCTGGCGCACATCCACACTGAATCCTTGCTGTACCGAGGGGGTCAAGTCGAATTCAAAGTCTGCCGTCGGAATGTCTACATATATTCTAGCTCAGACACAAAAGCCTCAAACAGATTGTTGTTGTTGTGGGCGGTCAGTAGAAACAATTGTGACCACGACGGATGCGACACGTCCGTCCCGTCGAAAACAGAAGCTTCGGGAGCTTTGAAAGGACTCCTACCCAAGTTTTCTCCTGTGTCAAAAATGCCGGCCCCAGGAATATGTGTTTCCACTANTCTGCCTGGCGCAGCACACCCACACTGTATCATCCTTCTACCCAGGGTGTCAAATCGAATTCAATGCATGCAATGTGAACATTGTGTCTCAGAAATAAACACTCCCAACAGGTTGTTATGGCGGGCAAAAACAAATTATTGTGACCACGGCGGATACGACACGTCCGTCCCGTCAAAAACAGAAGCTTTGGGAACTTTGAAAGGACTCCTACCCAAGTTTTCTCCTGTGTCAAAAATGCCGGCCCCAGGAACATATGTGTTTCCACTGGCGACACGTCCCCACCACTCACTCGATGGAGTAGATGGGGGTGGAATGGAAGACTGGCTACCCAAAGCCCCACTAACCATTCCCGGAATGGAGGACTGACTACCTAAAGTCCCACGAACCATTCCCGAACCGAAAGACTGGCTACCTAAAGCCCTACTAGCCGTTTCAATCAAACCAAAGCTTGCAGCACCAGCAGAGGGACGATTTACAGCAGATGCATGAGGGTTCAAGCCTGTGAGTCTGCAAGACTACTACTCCCAACTCTCACGCTGGACATGCCAAGGTCTTGGGCACTGCTGCCCGTACCTCCCGCAGTCCTGCCAGTAGCATCTACAGGATGCTAACCGGCGTCGGTTCCGCCGCTGGCAGTACCACCAGCAGAGGAACGACATACAACAATTGCACGAAGGTTCAAGCCTGAGTCTGCAAGACTGCTACTCCCAACCCACATGCTGGACATGCCAAGGACTTGAGCACTGCTGCCCGTACCTCCCGCAGTCCTACCAGTGACATCCGATGGATGCGCACCAGCGTACTCTGTTCCGCCGCTTCCGGGTACAGCAGCTACTGGAACAGAGGACTCCACCTGATCACCTCGTTGCCCAACAAGCGACTTGATAATACTCGTGAGCTGGGACAACTGTGTCTCAATCGAATCCAATCTCTCACCACCAATGACGTCCTGCGAATCACCCGGAGGTGGGTCATCCACATGATCGCCAGCAAGCCCACACATCACGAAGCAAGGTGATCAATCTTCCTCCGTGTAGTCTTGACGTACAGCAGTCCGAGGGGACAAGCAGCAGTCGACTGGTCTCGCTATAGCGTGTTGGTAAACTCGTGGCTTCTGGGGAAAATATGTTTTATTGTTGAGACCTTGGACCAGGAGAACAGGTCAAAAGGTGAAGTGAGCAAGGGTTGTTCGTGCGTGGATGTAGGTTAGTCGGCTTGTACCAAATCACTGGCGGTTTCGTGTACCGCAGATGGGATTGCCTTGAGGGGCGGCTAGGAGAGACCTTGAGATACGAGTTGCGGGCCCCCTTTCCGACTGGCTTTGGGCCTCTGGGCACTCTTCCTCCCTCCTTCTCCCTCATGTCCCCCTACGATAGTACATGCCGATAACAACACTCTTTGGACTCTGGAGGTCACACAACAAGGGCATACCAACATTCTAGAATGCATCCTCCGGAGGAGCCCGATGATCTTCAGAGTTTAGCTGTGGTGAGAAGCAGCAGCAGGAGCGTCGTGCGTGATCCCGTGGTAAGGACATTACTGAGTGACACGACGCGCAAGTTTTGACTAGGGTTTCGAGTTGAGGCGAGAACCAGGGGTGTAGGAGATGATGGGCAGGCTGCCATCGCTTCTGCAGGCCAAGTCGGGTGGGCGAGGCCAGGATTAGTCGGGCCGTGCTGCGAGAGGCACGGCAGGTGCGGCGGGATTTGTGTGTTCCACCTAGCAGCCACCAAGAGCTGCGTGGTCGTCAGGGAGGGCGACACTGCGGGAGGAGAGAGCAGCAGTAGGCCGGACATGGATGGCGCCCTGGTGCGGGCTGTTGAGGTCCCTGCTGAAGGTGTGTTTG